GCGCCGGGGCCCGGCCGCGGGCACCGGGGCTGCCCCGCGCCAGGGGCGAGCTTTGAGGAGATGCGCGGGTCCCTCGGACGAGGGCTGCAGGCTGGGCTACCTGAGCTCGGGTTGCAAGAGTGCGCTCGACTTTTACTCGACTTTGTATAAAGATACAGCTCTTCCTGGGGAAATACGTACTTGATGATATCGCCGAGAGAAGACAACGTCTGTCTTAACTGGTAATTTAAAGTAGTGACCATTTCCCCAGCAAGCATAAAATTTCAAACGACAGGAGGCTGTGAGAGGTTCTCCCAGCATCCCATGCAGCGAATTGCAGCGGAACACTTTTTCACAGCATCACGATGCTTTCTAATAATGTCATTTCAAATAGTGAGCCAACAGCTGCTACTTTACAAGTTCATCCTAAGAGAAAGTCCTTGTATCCTATTGCACTTACTTTGCTGAAAGCTACCCTAATGTGGCAAGGAACAGTGTCCACTACAGAACCCTCAAGAGATTTAGAGAATGCTTTGCCCATTCTCCCTCATTGCACCTTTTTAATAGTCTCACAGTTCCATAGCACAACTGAGTTCAGGCTTGCTTTTTTCTTTCATTTTCCCTCATGCTGTGTTCCCCCTTCCAGTAGCTTTGCCGTTTTTCACACTGGAAAACAATTAGCAATGTATCTTCTTAAATGTCTTTTTCTTTCTTTCTGATTCACTGTTTTTTAAAAAGTCACAAAATAATCCTGTTCAGCCTCTCTGGAGCAAGCAGTTTTGGGCTTTTGTCTCCTTTATGTTTGAAACACAGTTAAACCAAATGCTTTTCCCTCTTGGTGACAGCACTGCAAGCTCCGGGTACACAGTGCTGCTGTGCTCAAGCTGTAGGGGCAGAGTGATGTTGCCCAGCTGCAGCTGCAAGTCAGTAGAAGGACAAAGCTTTGTGTTATGTTGTTTCACAAAAGTGACAATTACTGTGTTTTGTTATCTGCCTTTTCACTGAGATGGAAGAAACCATCTGCTCAGCTGGACTGGGGGCATTCATTTCAAACACATTCAAACTACCAGAGGCACTTGGAAGCCTGGACTGACAGGAGGGGGCTCCTAGCATGTTCTGGCAGTCCGAAGGCTGAGCCCATGCCTGCAAGCAGGGAGGTTCAAATGCTGTGACCGGGGTGGCAGGGCACCCTCACACTCTGTGCTGTGACACTATTGTTTGGAAAGCTGTGATCCCTAGCTCTTCAGGCATATGCTTGCCTGCTTTCTTTGCTTGCTGTAGCTATGCCAGAACAATCAAGTGCCAGGCAATGCAGGACAGATTAAAAAAGCACCACGCCAGGCTGCCAAGGATATGGTAAGCAGCAGGTGTTTTGTGAACCTCGTTCAGGTTGCGCAGTTGCTACAGGCCTAGGCTCTGGGCCTCCATCAGAACAGTAGCAGAGCATCGTGCCTGGTCCTGCAGGATGCTGAAGCTGTCTGCCAGGACACCCACCATTGCCTGGCAGGCTTCTAAATATGTCTGGCATGCCGTGGGTCCGAGACCACTGTCTATAGATCTTTCCCCTCAAAAAACATGCCTTGATACTTTTTTTTGATCTAGTCTTGTTCACGTTAAAGGGAATTTTTCCTTGCATTTGACAGCATCTGTCATTTGTTTCTTAGTCATTTCTGTGATCCAAGATATTGTACACTGATATTGTACATCCTTTTACCTCCTAGTTCTGATAGGGGGTCCCATGGTGATTTAAAGAAAAATGCCCTGTCATAATTGGTCCAAACACACTTAACTTCAGCACATCCCTAAGAACAATACAAGCATCTCCTTCTGGTAAGCCTCCAAACAGAACACTTCTTACAACTGAGCAGCAGCAGCAATTCTGAAATGGCAGATGGTCTCCTGCAGTTTGGTATGATGATTTAGAGGTCCAGCTGTTCTCTCTACAGCATCACATATCTCATGACACCAGAGCTGGACCTGTGTGATACATACAGGGGAAAGGGGCATCTCTCAGCCCAAAAGGCTGTTATTTACCCCTAAAACAGCTAGAAGCATTGAAAAACAAGTCAAGTTACTTCTGTCCTAAAAGTTTGGTTTGTGTCAAGCCAGCAGGGCTTAACTCCTGGTTGTGTGGCACTTCCCCCATAAGGTGGTCTTCCTACAGTAACAGCATCTTGACTCCAGATCCAGGCCCTGAGTGGCCTCCTGCATACTGCCTGACTACAATCCAGTTCTGAGGGTTAGGAAGGAGGTCAGAGTGTTCCTCATTGGTTTTGCAGCCTGTGTGTTCTTCTCATGGGCACTCACTTCCCCTCCGCACCCCCACCCACTCCACTCCCTATTGCAATTCAGGCCAAGTTTTGATGACTGAATGAGCTTACTTACAAGGTTTGAAAGTCACTAGTAAGTTCAGAAGCACCACTACACTGAAGAGCTGAAAGAAAGAAAGAAATACATTGCACTATAATAGGAATTCATTCTTATCAAACACTGGCAAGTGCTTCCTGAATTTTCTGACAGTGCAATCCTGAGCTGTGGGATTTCAAGAAAGCAGAAAGTACCAATGACACCTCTTTGATGCTCTCCAGCCAATTGTTACTAAAGTATTGACTGGTCTGTTTATCTTCCAGCTGGCAGGACTGGCTGTCATTGCCTTTGGTCTGTGGCTGCGGTTTGGTGGGGTTATGGCAGACTTTGCTTCAGACAAAAAGTCTCCAGAGTATTTCTTCATGGGTAAGTTAAAGTGCCTGTGATGACAGTAACCTTTAGCCTTGGTTTAATCCTGGGGCATGTGACACACCTTATGCACTGAATTATATGAAGGCCAACAATTCCTGGGCTAAACTACACAAAACCGGACATTCTGGTGCCGTGTGTCATGTGCATGATGGCTTTCGTCCTTTCTGTGCTTGGCGTCAACTTCCTTAGGCCTAACTGAACTCTTCTCCCAGATTTGATCTGATCCTCACATATCTTAAGTGAATTGTGCTAATAGTGTTAGAATAGAAGTTGAGATGGGTCAGAGACTCCTGGAACATGGGGCTCACCAACACATCCTTCCAGAGTTTTCTGTGCAGCTGCTAGCCAACAAAATGAGTGTCACTTCTGAATGTTTCTAACACCAGTGCAGCAGTAAAACTTTTGCTCACCAGTTCTCCCTGTGTCTGCATAGAGGCCCTCAGTGTGACTTTAAGTACCAGAGCAAATCCTTCTACAGCTGGAAAGTAGAGCTACACAGTGTTCAGTCATCTCAAGAACAGTTTGTCCAACCTAGGCAGGAATCAACTAGTTCCCCAAGCCCACAGAACTGGTATTGGTCATGTCTAATTTTAGACATTTAAGATAAGTTTTTTTCTCTCTAGGATTTCCAGTTGGGTTTTCTGGAAATGCCACATGTGTTACATACCTATAGACATTCTTAAATAGCAGTTGTCTAGAACTGTCAGCAACTGCATTTCTCTATCCATTGGCAATTGTAACATGCCTTTACACCAGAAGAGTCAGACTTTTTTTCTATTTTAATATATCACCCCTGGAGATGGACTCACTCAATAAAATCCAGTTGGTGCAAACATTTTTGCCATATACAAATGCAAAGTGTGAATGAATACCCAGTCCTGCCTTGTCCATTGAGCCGCTCTGACAGGGTGGCCAGGAATGGAAGTTGACCCAAGATGTCTTGCAGCAGTCAGTTACCTATCACAGGAATATTGCCTGGGCTGTGCAGTTACTTTAAATACCTTGACTCTGATACACCGCAGTCCTAACCCCAAGCTTCTTTAATATATGCAACCAGGCTAGAGGCACAGAGCTGACTGTATAGTACTGTGGGAATAGATGGGTAGGATGTTATGTCCAGCAAAGTTTCTGTGACAGTTGATGAGGCTGAATAAAATCATTCAGATGAAAATTTGATTGGGACCTGAGGGTTACTGGAAAATATCCTGTAGCACCTCCACTGACGCAGAGAGCCAGGAAGCATGATTTACTTTTTCTCTTACATCTGAGCTGCTATGTCAGCAGCATATTAGATCACCAACTTCATTTCCAGATCCAGTTTATACCTGAAGAATTTCCTATGCTCTGTGTTGGAATTCTTCCCTGCCTCATCCACTTAATATTTGACCCAGGAGATTCAACAAGACAGAAGCATGTTCTGGCCTTCAAAATCAAGTACTGTTGATTAGAAAGTAGTACATCCTGTGATGTGAATAAGCACCACAGTTGTTTCACAGCTTTGCAGTGCAGACTGTAACACTGTGTAAACAAGATAATCCTTTGATGCATGTATATTTAAATCTCTAAAAGATTTATTCTGCTTCAGTCCTGAATGGGAATTACAAAAGCTGTTCAGAGTTGTTAATTTGGGGAAGTCCTGGGGAATGTTCTTGTAAAAGTTTTTGTCATATACTGTGGCATTCAACTATTGGGCTGTCACATGTATTTATAGAGCTGTATGCTATAATATGTAGCTGCTAGCAGAGGAAGTGCTAAGGAACAGGACATAAATATGTTGAGAATTCTTTAAAACTTGCACTTTTGACTGAATTCAAAAGCAAAGTTTTGGCCCTTTTTTCTAATAGGCATTGTGCTTGGAACGGAGCATTCCTGTTAAAGGAAAACAAAAAAAAATTCTGCTGCCCTCCCTCATTACCAATCATGTTAAATGCTGTTGTGACTTCTGAGCATCTGATAGGGCAGCAATTCAGAAGTCTGAGGCGGTTAACAATCTGTGACTAAGGCACTGGTAAAAGGATGGTGATAAGTTCAGTAACAGCGGGTTTTTCCAGCAGACAAGGCTGCACTTGACGGTCATGCTCAAGAGCTTTACCTCTCTAGGAGATTTCAGCTCTGAGTCCCCCCCGACAGTTGCATATTGGGCCCTTCTCACACCGACTCCAGGAGTGTTGTTTATTTGGCTTTTTGTGTTTGCTCTGTAACAGGCATTCTGGGTGACAGCCAGAATTTTGCATAGGAATTCTTAATATGGAACACTGTGAGCACCCAAGGCGCAGCTGCCCAGAGGGCTGAAAGAGAAAGCAGATCATCAGTATGACTTGGAGATATAAACACATGGCTATATATATTTATAATTTCTTTAGCTGTGTTCCACTGACTGCTTTTGTGGCTGCCTCGTGATAACCTAAGCCCCTGTGATCAGATCAGCTTTGTGTCAGTGCTTGGAACAACAGTGCATCTGCATTCAGAGTTTGCTTTGTAGGTTGAAGCACTGTCCAGAATCACCATCTTGTGGAAAACATCTAATTTTCTTCCTTCTAAAGAGGAGCACGTTCTGCTCTTTTTGTACCTGTATTGAGCTGCCAGCTGAATCTAACCAGCTTGTCTCTTGTGCTTCCTTGTGATGTTTTTTCCTGGATCTGAAATGTTGTTTTAGTTTAAAATAATTGATAATTATATCCTTGCATTTTCCATTAGGCCAGAATGAGTCTCCTTAAATAGCCCTGTTCTTTACCAGCAGTCCAGCTGTCTTTTCTGCCCCCTGGAATAGTTCAGGCCATGACTTGGCAACCAGGCCTGTTCATCTTTTCCAGCCACTGAAATGTTTTTGTTGGTTTGAGAACAACTTACAGGCAGCAGTGCTGAGGTCAAGCACATATGTGTTCTTAGTTTTCTCTTGCTTGTGGTTTTGTGTTTAGTGATCCATATTCCCCACTGCAGCTTGCAGTTTTTTAACCTACAACATAAAAGGTTGGAATTGGAACTCATTGACCCATGCAGTCTCCGTCCACTTTACCAGATGTATCTTAGACTGTAATGGCCTCCTAAAATTGGACATCCTCTCTCTGCAGCTCCTCAACTTTTGGAGTTCCCACTGCAGTGGCAGGCATGACAATATTTTTATATTACTCTATGTCATAGTATGTTTTTTGTGCCTGTGCTTCAAGTGGTGAGGCAAAACTATAGCTTTCCTGTTCTATTGCAGTTCAGCTCCAGTAGATTTCATAAAGTCCTCTCATAGCTTTACTTGAGAGAAAAAAAAAAAGAAAAAAAAAGATAATTTCAGCAAAGGTCAATAGCTGGGCAGTTACCTCTTTTATCTGAGTGGTCTGTGACACTATACTGACCAAATGGAGAAAAGATCTGTAGAATAAAGGGAATTCCCTTAGATTGCTCGTCCTTCCTGAGACTCCTGTACCAAGACTCTAGCAAGTTTTTTACTGGGCGGGAAAGTCAGCAACAATCAGAAGTAAAAGAGATGCTTGTGTGAACCCAAGATGTCAGCATTGCTGTCTCACATTTAATTCGTCCTTAATTAATTCTTTGTAGTAGTGCTGTTCTTAAATTTAAAAATACCTAAGGCACAGAAGTGAAGGCAAAGTGCCTGCTGAGTGCAGGTTGAGCATTCGTGAAGTAAAAAATAACACGGGGACTTTTTAAGGGTCAGTTCAAGACACCTATTCTCCCCTCTTTGCTTTTGGTGGATGAAGAGGAAAGTCCGTGCTGGTTCCTTGGGCAACATGGAGGACAAACTCTCTGTATCCCTGATCCCTGATAAATGAAGTGCAGAGGGTCACATCACTGCCAGTAGCAATAAAAATGAAGTGTATGCACTCAACAAGCCCCATCAGGAATGGTGACAAAAACTGATGAATGTGAATGAATCAGTCTGGATTACTCTTTCTCATAACTGGCAGCACTGAAGCATCGCTTCTTTTGCACAGCCAGAGCTCACAAACTTCCTGCTATGTTACCTTTCTTTGCTGCAGTTCCACAATACAATCTGTGGTCCAGGCATTCACCAGGGCCAAACCAGTTGTGGATAGAAGTTGCAGGGTGGCTGTGGCTTTTTCTTGGGGTCTGTGAGAGCACGAGTGATCGTTCTGGCTTTGAAAGGTACAGTTAGATGGCGCATGCCTTAGGATATGAAGTCATGTCTGGAGTTGAAGGATGTTAGTCGTTTTTCTCCATAGCAGTGGGTGCCCATACAAACAGGAGTTGGCCAGCAGTTAAATCCATGTAAACTGCAATTCTCTGGATCATAAAACGTAGCAATCAGTTCCTAAGAGTCAGTATCCCACCTGGCAGAGTAAGGGCAAGGCCATCGCAAAGTCAGTATTCTGACAAAACAAGCTAATCAAGCCTAATGGAATAATCTGTCCATCTACCTCAGGTTGATTGGTATATATTTGCAATATGCTGAGATTCAGGAGGCGCTTTTTTTTTTTTTTTAAATTAATCACTTAAGAGTGAGAATGCACTTTATGCTTTTTGCCTGTTACTCTGTCCTCCTGGATAAACCTTTCTCCCATCCTACTCTCTTTGCATGTAGCTACCTAAAAGCTAGCCAGTTCCACACAGCAGCAACAGTTGAACTGACAGTTACGACATTTCCTTCTTTGACACACCCTCTTCTCCTTCCTCTAGGCAGCTGCAAGTCACCCTGGTGCCTGCACGCTGGTCGCATTGCTGTGAATGCTGAACTCTGAGAATACTGCTCACTGAGTATGTGGGGTCTCCCTCAGCCTACCTCAGTGAGCGATCAAGCAGTTGTATCTGATTCTGGTCAGACTGCCCATGCACAAAGGGCAGAGCCCAGCACCACAGTCTCAACACTGCAACTTTTCCAGAAACAGCCACCTGTAGCAAGTGACCGAGGTGACTGGGGATAAACCTGTCACTGGTCCTGCATGAAGTAAAAAGACATCAAGATATTTCCTCTTGCTGTAGCAGCACACAAAACTCCAGGAACGGAGTTTTTAAGGGTCAGTTCA